CCCCCCCCCCCCGCCACATCCAGCCTGGGGACAGAGTGTCTGGCAAGTGGCATCCTCTCACACGCATCAGGGCAAGCTAAAGATGGTCCTGGTGACAGCCAGGTCAGTGAATGTCAGGGAAGCAGGAGGGAGAAGAGCGGCAAGGAAGCACCAGAGTAGGGGGCGAATGAGGAAGTATCAAGGCTGAAGCAAAAGGAAAGCAAGGAAGGCAATGCATGGTGTTACCTTGACCCTCCGCTGCATCTGAAGGCAAGACACAAAGCTTAGAACCCTGGTGTCAGAACGCTCCCGCAGCAAGCATGTGGGCTTTCCACACTGAGGACAGAGGCAAGGGAAGCCAAGGGTCCCCAGCATAGGCCACAGTGGGGACAGGCCCTCCTCACAGCCACCTCCAGCTGTCTCCCCAGGGCTTTGTGTTCTGCACCCCTGTCCCCTCCACTGCCACCTCCATGTGGCAATGGCTGAGGCACAGGGGAAAAAGAGTGGAGACAGGAGACCCAACCCCTAGCTTCTCAGTAGGTTCAGCCACCCTAGAAACGTCCGCGGGACTCTTCCTGATTCCGGATGGGCCAGGTGCCAGGGACATGATGCCCACGCAACCCCACCATGGAATGGACAGTCCAGAGACTCCGGATCACTGATGCAGCAAGGCAAGCTGGGAGTTGCAGACACGGAAACCAATCTTCAATTTCACCGCACTTCCCCTCCAGCCTGCCTTCTCCTGCCGCCCCTTCCTGTGTGGCTGTCTCCCACCAATCGGCCCAATCCTGCCCCATGGGTACCAGGTGAGGTCAGCAGGGGGTGCTGTGGGACCACAGGCTGGGAGAAGCTGCCCCAGGCCTGCAGGGGTGAGGAGCTAGGTCGGGAGCGGGGACAGCGAGGCCCTGGATGGAGAGCACATGGCACCCTTGGGAAGTGAAAGGCCTCTGGGAGGCTGAGGGAGGTGAAAGGGTGTGGTTGGGACCAAACCATGAACGGCCTCCGATGCCAAGGTCAGGGGCTCAGCCAGGACCTTGAGGGCCGCAGGAAGCATGGGGAATGCAGGCATTTTAAAACAGGTGCTCCTGGAGGAGAGTGAGGTGTGGAGGAGACTGGACAGGCCAAAAGGTCTATGGAGGCTTCTGGATGGAAGATGAAGAGAAGACCTTGGCTCTGGCCTCGCAGAGGCCATGTGGCTCCAGAGGAGACCTATGCAGGTGGCACAGGTCCCAGGGTTGGGGAATGCACTGACGTGAGGTGTTGGGGCGGGAGGACTCCAGCCTCCAGCTTGGGAGACAGCCACACAGGAAGGGGCGGCAGGAGAAGGCAGGCTGGAGGGGAAGTGTGGTGAAATTGAAGACGGACACACTGGGCCGACGTGGGTTCCTGCACACTGCCCTGCTTTGCCTGCTCATCCAATCTGCAAAACCTCACACTGGCCCGTTTTAGGAACTAAGTGTGGAAATAATATATTTTCCTTTGACTTTAATGTCCCGCAGAGACAGATACAATCAAGATGTTTACTTTGTGCTTTGGAAATCAACCTATTTTTCCTGCTCTGACTGACACCTAAGCAGCCTCAAGCCAGTCTCTGACTTTAATTCCAGAACAGGAAGGAAGCTGAGATACCCTTGATAGGGAAACTGAAGGCCAGCAAGGGAGGGCCCAGGCAGGCCACCCTGTCTGCTCAGCTCGAGAACTCTCCCCATTCACGGCCCTGCCCTTGCCAGGCTGTTACAGGGCTGGCTTTTCACCCATGTGCAGCACCCGGAAGAGAGGCAATGGCGGGTGGGTGACAAGTGCATGATGCCTGGGCAGATGCTCTTACGAGGAACTACAGACCTGCTTTCAATAGTTTCTTTTATCCAGCATGCTTTTATTTTTTATTTTTATTTATTTATTTTTGAGACGGAGTTTCACTCTTGTTGCCCAGGCTGGAGTGCAATGGCACGATCTCAGGTCACCATAACCTTCGCCTTCTGGGTTCAAGCAATTCTCCTGCCTCAGCCTCCCAAGTAGCTGGGATTACAGGCATGCACCACCATGCCCAGCAAAGTTTTGTAGAGACGGGGTTTCTTCACGTTGGTCAGGTTGGTCTTGAACTCTCAACCTCAGGTGATCCGACCACCTCAGCCTCCCAAAGAGTTGGGATTACAGACATGAGCTACTGCACCCAGCTCTCAGCAAGGTTTTTAAAGTCTCAAAGCCATCCTTTGGCCTGGCCTTCTCACCCTGTGTGGTAACGGGCACGTATTTGAAAACTGTGGACTGTTGCACCTCACCATTAGGCTAATGATGCTGTAGTGAAGTCAAGGATGCCCCAACCCACATCCCTGGAACCTGTGAACGTGACCTTATTTGGGAACAGGGTCTTTGCAGGTGTACTTCAGGATGCTGAGATGAGGTCATTCTGGATTTAGGATATAAACTGAGATTGGAGTGATGTGGCCACAAGCCAAGGAACACCCAGTCCCCGGGAACTGGGGGAGAATCCGCTTCTGTTGTTTGGAGCCACTTGGTTTGTGATTCTTGGTTCTGGCAGCCCCAGTGAGCCCATACAGCTGCCTAGGACGAGACTGCTTCCTTGGCAAACCTCATTAGTGAGCCCTTTTGGCTCCCAGGGCATGAGCCTTTGTGTCCAAAGAGCTCACAACTACTTTGTTGCTACGAACCAAACCCCTCCTTGCCGCCCCAACCACCTAGAAGGGGAAATCATCAGAAAATCAAGGCAAAATGCATCTGACGTGGTGCTTCCAGCCAGAGAAGCTCTCCAGCGAAGGTCCGAACAGGAGAAGCCCCCTAGCCAGCCACCAGGACCTCCCCTGCCGCTGTGGCCTCCATTTTGAGGGCATCTCTGGGTGTAGGATTTTTTTTTTAATAATAAATATTTGTTCAATGACATTTTAGTTACCAACTAGTTTAATCAGTAATACAGAAAAGATTTTTTTCTCTCAGTCAGTTCTAGCTTTGCCCTACAGGCCTGGTTCAATCCAAATCTGGCCTTTTATCTTTTCCCAAGAGACCATCTTGAGAACCTCGATGCTCATCCACAATCTTGACTCCTCTCTCGGCAAGAGGAACCCTCCGAGTTGTTCTCCCACAGTGGCGCTGGCCAGGTCCTTGCTCCCTCCCCTGAAACAGGGAGGGGATATGGAGAGCTCCCAGCCCGGAAAGCAGTTTCAAATGAGGATCCCTGGCCACAGGGAAGGCCATGTAGATTGAGCTGTGTCCCAGTGTCCCCATCTCATTTCACTCCCCCTGCCAGAGGGAGAGTCCACAGAGGCCTTGGGGCCTCCTGGACAGAAACCCCCTGTATTAGGCTGCTTCTACTTTTTTCTAAATGCAGTAACAAGGTCAGAGATTAAGGGCTGTGACTATGTGTCTGGGTTCCCTGGGCTCCTTGTTCCAGGCACAGCCCAGGAGGCTGATGCAAAACCGCCCCCGCCACACTAAGCACAACTCAATCTTCTCACCCAATTTCTCCTTCTAAGTATCAGTGTCCAAGCAATTAGAATGCTGGATTCGCATATTTTTCACCAGTTAGAGGATTCCGTGGCTTTTGAGTTGAGGGAAAGGGATAACTCTAAAAACAATCCAGTCCCCAGTCCTGGACTCCATCTGACCTGTTCCCTGTTCACAACATTCTCCAGTCAAGCTTCTGGGTCCATGGTGGGTCAATGGGATCTCAAGCAGGGTGGCCATGAACAGTTTTGCAGGTTGTGCACTGATATGTGAATGTGCTCCTTCAGTACTTTTGTGCATACTGTATGTGTCACCCTGGTCAAGAATGTTCTACAAGAGTGAAATCAACAAATATGATGGTCAGATGAATAAACAGTTGGAGACTTCAGTAAAACATCTTGGGACCCAGGTTAGTTTTCTGTGCGGCTCAGCTCCAGGCTAGAATTAAGGGCAGAGGACCACAGCAAGGGTCAGGGAAGACCCACATGGGTTGTTTCAAAGCTGCCCATTGTATCCAAGGGGCTGAGGAAGGAGTGGAAAGAGACAAGCTACAGCTGAGTCACATCCTGTCACTGGAACTGAAAATCACCAGCCTTGAACTGGAGACACGCTCCACTCAGAAAACAGGGACACAGCATCAATCTGTGCTTATAAAATGGACAAGCGAGGTCGTCTTGTTCCCTCAACCACCTCCCCACAGAGCTCCCTGATGTGAGGCACTGATGGGTGAAGACAGGATTCCATTAATCCACGACCTCCAGACTCACAGCTACAGCATGAGATGAAAACCGACTTTTAAAAACCTAGTAAAGGCTGGTGGGGGGCAAACCACACCATTCTTTCTCTCGCATTCCTACTTCTTTGGACAATTCATGATTCCACATAATTCGTGGCTCGTTGGGGGAAAAGCACCAGGTGGTGACTTCTCAGGTTGTGACAGGGGCACTGCCAGAGTAATAAGGACCGTGCTTTGCAAACCACCAGGAAGTGCTGCCTCCTGCTCCTGAGGGAGCCAGCAGCATGGGAAGGAGCTGGTGACACAGCGCCTCCAAAGGCCCTCATCCCCTTGGCTGAGATCTGAAGCTGTGGGTGCAGCCCAGGTCCCTCCTATTCTATGTGAAGAAAACATCACAACAGACATTGAGCTTTGTCCCCACAGAAATACCACTGGGAGCTGGGGCCCCTGGAAGGTGAAGGTCATCAGGGCCAGCCCCATCCACTCTTGTAGGCTGCTTTACACTTTAATTCAGCCTAGATCTGTCCCCAGGGATTTCCAAAACTGTAGCCTCCACCCCCATCCCAGGAAGTCTGTTTGGGAGTGGGTCTCAGGCAGGCTGTGGAGGGGTCTGGATCTGTCCCAGCCCCTTTACCTCCAAAGACCTTGCCAGCTGGTTCCCAGTCATGAGTGGGTGGCTAGACTTACGCTGAATGCTGAAGCAGAACTTCTTCTGCTGGTAGGAGATGTAGCTGGAGACGGCGCCAATGAGAGCCATGGCTAAGGCGCTGGCCACCCCGGCAATGGTGCCGGTCTCTGCCACCATGTCTGTGTGAAGAAGAGGGAGAAATGAGAACAGGTGAGGTCAGAGCCAAAGCACAGCAGGGAGCAGCCCGGGAGCCTGCTTCTCCTGTAGCACCAAACTAAGCACCAAATTCAGACGCCCATAGCCCACAAGCCAGCAGGAGATGGCCACGCCACACAGCTGTAAGGCATTACAAGGACATGGTACCCTCTAGATTTGCCTAGGACTTCTCGTTTTCTGTAAGGACTTCACTTTTGAGAAGCTTCCAAGGGAGACATAGGAAAGGTGCCGTGCTCTCTGTGACTAAGGCCCCATGGGCCTCCCATGGTGCTGCTTCCTCCAGGATCCCAATCTTCAATATTCATTCCTTCATAAAGCTACACCCCCCTACTGGCTTCATGATTATCTATTGGAAACATTCAGGGGAAAGCCAACTCTGAGACAAGAGTGGGCCAGCACTATCTCTCCTTGTAGTTGCTGTGAAATATCTGAGACAGGCCTCAATCCATTTAGAAAGTTCATTTTGCCAAGGTTAAGGATGCACTGGTGACATGTGCCAAGGTGGTCACGGCAGAGCTTACTTTTATACATTTTAGGGAGACATGAGACATCGATAAATATGTGGAAGATGTGCATTGGTTTGGTCCAGAAGGTGGGATAACTCAAAGCAGGGGGTGGGGGTGGGGTGCTTCCAGGTCATAGGTAGATAAGAGAAAGAGACAAAAGGTTGTATTCTTCTGATTCCTTGACCAGCCTTTCACTGAATACACAATTTAGTCTGGCTCAGTGAATCTGCATTTTTACATAAGCACTTGGGCAGAGGAAGCAATCAGATATGCATTTGTCTCAGGGGAACAGAGGGCTGACTCTCTCTCCCTCATTAAAGATCAGCTATCAGTTTACATCTCCAGGGTGAAATCCAACAGAGCTGTTTTAGGGTAAAGATCTTGAGGCCCATAAGAAATTTCCTTGTGAGCAAATTGTGAGGGAGGTAGGCAGCTTTTTACATCTTTGTAGCGATCTTATTTAGGAACAGAATGGGAGGCAAGTTTGCGTGATGCCGCCCGCTTCTAGCTTGACTTTTCCCTTAGCTTAGTGATTCTGGGGTCCTGAGATTTATTTTCCTTTCACATGGCCAACAGGAGCCTCAGGATTCAGAAACCCACCAGATCCAGGGTCGTCACTGCTGCCGTACCGGCCATCACCTGGAGAAAAGACAAAAGCACTTACTACCTGCCACCAGCCAGCTCAGGCGCAAGCTGAGATGGATGGCAATGCTGGCCCTTCCAATCCTACCTATGCGGCAAGACCCCAACCAGTGACCACCCGTGGGCTTCTACTGGACTGCAACAAGACCTGCTTTCTTATGCCCACCACCTGCAAAGCCCAGGCCACCAGGAGGAACTTTTTATTATTAAAATGGCAGCCACCTTGCCCTGTGCATGCACTGAATTCTGGGCTTTTCGGGCACAGTATTCTATTTCACCTCCCTGCTACCAGTGGGGCAGCTGCACTTAGTGGCCCCACCATAAAGGGGGCAGGGGGCTGTGCCAGGAGAGCCTGACTCTAAATTTTGCCACCACCATGGGTCTCTGGCGTAGCCACTGCCTCAACTATAGCCGAAGTCGTTCTTGGAACATAAACAAATGTAGGCTCACAATCCCGTATCTACTATTTTGAGATGCAAAAGGATCTGAAGTATCACAGAGATGGAGAACAGATGAATGCTGGCAGGGGCTGGGGAGAGTTGGGAGGGAGTTGGCTGTGATTATAAATGAGCAACAGGCAGGAGCCTGGTGGTGACAGACTGTTCCGTATCTTGACTATGGTGGTGGGCACACAAGTCTACACACACTTGCACATACCCCTTCCCCAGACAGCTACTCCCTGACAAGCAACTGGTGCCATTTCAGGACTTTAATTAGCATTGAGTTCATTGTTCATGCCACCTTCTTCTCAGGGCTGAGCGCTCATTAATGGAGGAAGACTGTGTTCCCAAGGCCCAGGGTTCTCAGGGGAAACCACCCTGGGATGTTGAAGGCAAATGAGCTCCAACATTTCTTTCACCAGTCAGAGTCAGGAGGAATGGTAGTTCATGGACTGTGAAAACGTGCCCCTCCGGCAGGGCTGGGGGAGGCTGTGCGCATGTGTGGGGAGGGGGAATATGAGAACTCTCTGTACCTTCCTATTTTTCTGTGAAACTGATCCAAAAAATAAAGCCTATTTTAAAAAAAGATAGTTGGGGAAAAATGAGGTTTGTTATCTTCCCACCTATGGCTGAATCCTTGAGCTCTATGCATTTCATAAAGAGCCCTGATTGGATATGGATGGTTACTAACAAAACAAAGAGTACCAGCATTTACAACACACACACACACACACACACACACACACACACACACTCATTGCTGTTGGAGAAAGCATAACAAACAGGAAGATGGGGGTCACTGTGCACAGCCAGATTAGCAGCGAGGCCCCGTCTGCTGTGCTGGAGGTGGCTGTCGTCATGGCATCCTCAGTTAATGAGTTCATTTTTTCTGGACTCTGAGTAATTCAACCTTTTCTTTCACCTCAAGGCAGAATGAAACTGAGTGTTCTCGTCTCCTTTCCCTTAGGAGTGCTTGGCTATGAGGATTACAGCAACTTAAACATCATAAGACTGCTGAGCAACAGGCTGTGATAACAAATATAAACAGGTCGAACCCCTTCCTAATTTCCCCCCAGGGACAAATGGAGAAAAGGGCTGACCTCCCAGTCTTTCAAAGACTCAAAAGCTCAATAGTTCACAACTCCAGTAGTTCCTATCTGACCAGGTGTGACTGCAGGAGGTCCTGTCTTGAGACAAATAAAATGTGCTTCTCTTACTCCTCAAAAAAAGTGATCGCATCCTGTGGGCAAGTCTTCTCAGATGGGCATGTGAACTGAAAACACTGTGAGGCGAAGAAAAAACCGCCAGTCATCTTAGATCCTGTTCTTTCTCACTGCATGAACCTGAAGTCAGCCACACAGGCCTGCCACTGGAGTCAGCCAAGCCAAGGTCATGGCTTTGAGCCATGTTGGGCTACTGAGTTCTGCCCACTTTCTCTAGGCACAGGCTGAACCCAGTTACTTTACAAAATGCACACTGTGCAAAAGATGGTACTGGTGATGAGTTATTGGCATAAAATAAACTATCCAACCCAATACCATCCATGAAGATCGGTTCCCAGGAAAAATAAAGTGGATGAAGGCATAAAAACACTACAGGAAAATTTAGGGGTAAGGAATTTCTGTTATCTTGGGGTAAAAAATGACTTTCTAAATATGATACTAAAGCCAGAAACTCAAAATGGAAAAGATCAGATCAAAAGTAAAAACTTCAGTACTAAAAGTGCAAGCAACAAAAGAAAAACGAAATTGGGCTTTGCAAAATTACAAACTTGTGTGCTTCAAAGGACATCATCAAGAAACTAAAATGACAACGTACAGAACAGGAGAAAATATTTGCAAAATATGTATCTGATAAGGACCTAGTATCAAGAATATATAAAGAAACTCTTCAGCTCAATAATAAAGAGGCAAATCATCAAATCTAAAAATGGGTAAAGGATGTGAATAGACGTTTCTCTAAAGGGACATAAAAATGGCCAATAAACACATGAAAAGATGTTCAACACTGTTGGTCATTGGGGAAATGCAAACCAAAACCATAATGAGACACCATCTCATATCCGTTAGGATAGCTATAATAAAAAACAGGAAAAGGAAAGGGAAGATGACAAGGGGAAGGGAGAGAGGGGAAGAAAGGAAGAAGTGTTGGTAAGGATGTGAAGAAACTGGAACCCCAAGCATTGCTAGCAGGCATGTAAAATGGTGCAGCTGCCATGGAAAACAGTTTGGTTGCTCCTTAAGAAGTTAAACATGGAGTTACAACATAACCGAACAATTCCTCTTCTAGATATATACCCAGGACAACTGAAAACATATGTCTACATAAAAATTTGCACAAACATGTTCATAGCAGTATTCATAAAAGCTATAAACAACCCAAAGTTTCATCAACTGATGAATGAATAAATAAAATGTGTATGGAATATATAAGGGCTCCCTCATCTCTAATGTAAAAGGAGTCCTTAAAATATATGAGAAAATATGCAGACCCCAGTAAGAAAAAAAAAATGGGCAAAGGACACAAACAGGCAATTCACAAAATATTTTTTAAAGTGTCTAATAAGACACTGAAAAAGTGTTTCACCTCTTTTAGATTCAAAGAAATGCATATTTAAACAGGATAGTGTTTTGTTCTGAACAAATCTGCAAAGATGACAAAACTGTAATGCCCAGTGGAGGTGACAATTTGAGAAAACAGGCAGCTGTTTACCTACTGGTGGTAGAAATGGAGGTTGGCACAACCTTCATGGAAAACCATTCAGCAGTACCACTCAAAACATCTCATCTTTAAGTGTCTACCTCCTGTGGCCCAGCCGTTTGACTGCTAGGAATTTATTTGACAGACACAATTAGGGTTGTGCACATTTGGCTACAACAATGTTCATCACAGCACTGTGTAGAGTAGCACAAAGCTGGGGGTGGGGGAGTCTCTCTACAAAACTAGGGTCCTGGTTAAAGAAATTATGGTTTTTCATAATATAATGCAATCACTGAGATGATATTTTAGAATAATATCCTTTAATGACACAGAATGATATTCAGGGTATCATTGACTAAAAAATGGTTTCAGCATAGTATGATCCCATTTTTATTTAAAAAAAAACCACAAATATTTACAAATATATACTTATACATAGAAAAAGTATTCCAAGCATGCAGTCAGAAAGCTTACTAGTGATTCTTCCTGGATCATGAAACAACAAACAAGTCTTTTTAATATAATTTCCGAAGAGTTTTAAATCTGCAAGCCCCCATGTGCAAATCCATTCACCCCTCTTTCCCACAACTGAAGTGAGAGCTCAAAGAAGCGATTTCACAGGTCACTGGTGGACTCTTCAGCTTCAGTATGTTTTGTATTCCCACCTGCCCTCTGAGTGCACGATTATATACCAAAGAGACTACAGTAGCTTTCTAGTGAACCAGAAATCCCCCTGTACAGTGTATCGCAGGCTGCGATTTGCTTTGTGTGTAGATATCTATAGATATAGGTAGCTGTATGGACTGCCATAGCTCTAGGAACTGCTACCATTGCTATAGCAACACCATAGCAGTAGGGACTGTCACCATAGCAGTAGTGACCACTGCCATAGCAGGTCTCATAGGTACAGAAACCTCTCTAGCTATAGCAACCACCATAGCTACAGGGGCCCGGTAGAACAGGAGGCATGAGCCCAGTGAGAAAGTTGTGAGTAAGCCCTGCAATCAACAGATGTGTCAGACCCTCAGCATCTCAGATAAAAGACAAGGATGTACACATACATGTCAGCCTTGATTCCCACACAGCCGTACATCTGGGGGAGGTGGCGATGCACCACATGGAGAGGCCCTTCTCTGACAGCAGCACAACCTGGGCTCACGGTGAGTGCCTGACCCACCTGGTTGCCAAGGGAATGGAGAGTAATGTAACAGTAGGAAGATTATAACTGCCAGGGGCAGATGTTCAAGAATTTAAAGACATCTATACGTGTTGTACAATTCTAGAACTCTTAAGTGTTCTAGAATTCTAATAGACACAGCTAGGGCTTTTAGATATTTTGCAAATATATTTTCATTATCTAAAAAGATGGCCAAAGTGCAAAATAAGCAAATTATTAAAAAATGAATAAACAATGAGAAGAAAACTTGCTTCAAATGCCCCATAGTTACCAAGTTAAACTGAACTGAAAAAAATTACCAAAACATAGCTGCCTATGCTAGCCACCAGGGAGGGCGCTCCTCACTGTTCCAGAAAGTCTCCAAGGCCCAGATCTTATCCATCCCCCATCACAGGGATGAGAATGCCCACCCTCTAGGTAATATAATGGGTATCCCCTTCCAAACTGATACAGAACCTTAAAACTCTCCCTGTCTTATGTCAGGCTCCCAAGATACCAGCAAGGTGGTCATCTGGGAGAAAACCCATATTCATGCTGTGTGCCCAGGTATGTGTTTGGGGAATGGGAGTCTGAGGGAGCAAGTGGGTCTCTTTATATCATAGAACAACAGAGCCGGGGAGCTGTTCCTCACATCTGAAACATCCTATTTCTCTACATGTTATAAAAGCTGAAATGAATGT